CTAGTACTCTATAAGAATAATGAGAAGAAGACATTTGTTTCTAAAGCTAGTTTGAATTACCACGGCACAGGCAGAAGGATGTGAGCATCCCACCCTACAGAAGAAAATATATATCAATACTTTTTTCATTTGTGTGCTACATCTTGAATGGGACTGAGATGCTGGCATAATGAATGAAAAGAAATGTACTGTATATGAAATTATAGTAGGTAAACTCAGTTGGAAATTCTTCTGATACAACATAAGTTGCATTTTTTTTTAAAAAAATAGTATTTTCAAACTATAACAGAAATGAAACATTAATAAAACATTATGAGGCTAGGTCACCTGCTTATTTTCTAAATTTGTACACATACAAGCTGTTCACGTAAACATATCAAATACTTTAACTTTTCCCTGTCATATCTGACACTAAACTTGCCATTTAGCTCATTTCATTACAACAGTTCATTTGATTCAGATGTTACTTAAAAGCTTTCTTTGCAAAACTGCCTACTGCCAATAAGCTGACAATCAGACAATACTTACTTCTAAAATGAATATAATTTAACTTTTATTACATGGAACTCAAGAAAAGTACAACAAAGGTGCATAAAAACCTTGCACCTCATAAGCAAAGCAATCTGATATGGTAATCTATTATCTGATATATTCTTGACATACTTCTATATCGTTGAATCATTACTGACAGATTAAGGGAAGTGAAATATCTAACTTTTCTCCCTCAGCTTAAATTCCAATGATATGTTTCTAACTACCAAAGAACAATTTAGGGTAAGAAAATTGGGCAGAATAAGACAGTAAACTTTGGTTGCCTAAGCCAGAGCCCCAATTCAAATAATGGTTGACATTCATTTTAAAAAAATGTGGGCAGGGGAAGGGACATTTTAAAACTAATACCTCTGGGCTGCAAGTATATGAGTCATTACTAGATGGCATGAAATTCAGGACAATTAGCTGCTTGCTGCCATCTAATAATTATCTGGATTTTTATTGCCCAATATGTAGTAGCCTTAAAAGATGTAATGATGGTGCTGTTTTGGAAACTGCTCCCAATTGTCTCAACATGTGAATGCATGGGTGGCTATCTTACTTTCCTGCATGTTTTCAGTGACTAAGTCCATTAGATGCTTTTCCTATGGAATATATTCTGAAGCCAGTCATATAGGCCTCTGTTTACCTTTAGAATGCAGTCTCTGCTATAGCAAAGAAAAAAAAACTTAATGAATGTTTGTTTCTTCACTACATGAGAAAAGCAGTTTTCCCTGAACGATACATTTTCATGTCAAATCTACTTACTTATGTATATTTATTGAACAGAATTTGCAAACTGACAAATGATAAAAACTCTAAGCAGGTTGTATCAATTCAATAATTAAAGCTTTCTTTAAAATCACAAGGCAAGAAATTTAACATCAAATTAAAACAGAAGATGCCCTCCAATTTCAGTGAAACACAATGCACGTTTTGTAGATGTTCATCTACAAAAACTTGTCAGAAGAACCAAGTCCTAAAGTTGAGTACAGTGGGGGGGAATAGGATTTCACTAACCAATGCAGAATTTTTGCATAAAACATCCATTAACATAAATTAGTTTTGTTATTCCTATGTTCAAAATGGCATAATAAATAGTTATTTAATGGTCGTTGGGTTTTAACATGGCAACTGGGATATCTGTATAGTTGCACAAAACAATGCATGCTACATCATTCCTTTGGAAAAAAATCAGCTTCTAATGTTATCCTATACATTTCACACAACAGGATGATTTTGCAGTTAATCTTCAGTTCCTTCTATATGTTCTGCATAATTGATAATAAATATGTAATGGGATAAAATAACATTAAGCAACCTGATGAATCATTCTTGACACATGGTGACTGTCTGGATAACTCCATTCAGTTTTCTTGGCAATATTTTTGGAAATGCATGCTGGCTGAGGAATTCTGGGAGTTGAAGTCCACAAGTCATAAAAGGGCCAAGTTTGAAGACCCCTGACCTAAAGTGACTGATTGATATTCTTAACTCACACTAAAGATAGGTGTAGATGACAAATTTCTGTAAAAAGCGTTATCATTTCATCTGGGGATCAGTTCATACCCCAGATCTGCCACTGGGGTAGTCAATTCAAAAAAGAAATATATGGTGGAAAACTCTTTGCATAACATTGCTTGGAAGATTTGAACCACTCCATCTAAATCTCCACAATGACTCCAAAAGATCATCTAAGGAAAAGAAGTTAATGACTCTTGTGGACTATAGAAGAGTAATAGATTAAATAGAGTTCATTGTTTCAATTACCAAGGAAAGAGTTGGCAGCCCATTTATGTTTAACCCTTCTATTTAACATTTTTGCAAAAAAAAAAAATAGTTTACAAGCAAGAATACTTATACTACCAAGATCTTGCTCATTTTTAAGCAATCGTATATTTAGATATCCCAAATCTTTAGGACTTTTTTATACTCCATGTATAAAGAAAGGAATTTGTTTGTTGGAACATTTGTATAAATCCTAACATGTTAGTTCCACCCCAGTTTAATACACAGTTACTTAGCTCAGTAAAGGCCTTAAACCCATTCCTTACTCTTATTAGCTGCAGCTGCAAAGGCATTGGCTGAAATGTTCTGTTTCTGCCAAATATTCCAGACCAGTTCATGTGTATCTGATTGCTTGCACCACCCTTTACTTTGCTTACATTCTGATACTGAAAGCAATTATCTTCTGGCAGACAGCAATGAGCATAGGGCAAAGCTATAGCTGGAAATATACAGCAAATTGATTAACAAGAAACTGCAAATTGGTAAATTTTATAAAGAATATTAGAATAAAATAATTCAAGGGTAAGAATGGTGTGAATCAACTGACGTACACAGACTATATTATACCTTCCTCATAAAAATTACATTTTAAGCAGCATTCTACTAGTTCCTTTTTATGTGCTTCTTCTGTGGTTCTAAGAGACAGACATTTTATAGTATATTCAACTGACCTGTCTATGAATTCCATGAAACCTGGACAAAATAAGAGAGCTGGAAGGGACCTTTGAGGTCTTCTAGTTCAGGGTTCCCCAACCTGTGGGCCAGGGCCCACTACTGGTTCGTGGCCTATTCGCAACTAGGCTGTGTGGGTGATTGGCTGATGCGCACGTGCACAGCCTCACTCACATGAGCGTCTCAGGTGCTCAGGACTTCATATGCATTAGCATTGCACCTGCCCCCCTCCCAAAACCACTCCATCTTTCCCCCTTCCAGGCTGCCAGCCCAGAAGATTGGAGAACTCTGTTCTATTCCAACTCCATGCTCAGGCAGGAAACTCTATACCATTTTAGACAAATGGTTGTCCAGTCTCTTCTTAAAAACTTCCAGTGTTGGAGTTTTCACAACTTCTGAAGACAAGTCGTTCCACTGGTTAATTGTTCTAACTGTCAGGAAATTTCTCCTTAGTCCTAGGTTGCTTCTCTCCTTGATTAGTTTCCATCCATTGCTTTTTGTCCTGCCCTCAGGTGCTTTGGAGAATATCTTGACTCCCTCTGCTTTGTGGCAACCCCTGAGATACTGGGAAACTGCTACCATGTCACCTTAGTCTTTCTTTTCATTCAACCAGACATATCCAATTCTAGCAACCATTCTTTATATATTTTAGCCTCTAGTTCCCTAATCATTTTGTTGCTCTTCTCTGCATTCTTTCTAGAGTCTCAGCATCTTTTTTACATCATGGTGACAAAAACTGGATGCAGTATTCCAAGTGTGGTCTTACCAAGGCACCTTTATCAGAATGTTCAGGCGTATTGAAATAGGCAGGCAACTAACCCTTAAAACAAAGAGCAAAACTTTGATACTTAGCTATTTTGCAACATTTCAAGGATAGCTGAAAACACTGGTTTATATCTATAAATCAGCACTTTCCCGAAATCCACAAAATGCTAGATTTTTAAAAGCTGTAACGATTCCAGCAGCTGCAGAAAAAGCAATTCAAAGTAAGGATAGTGTGAAAATTCTCACCCCTGCAAACTATTGCCAAGAGCAGTAAACATCAAACATTGATATTTGGAGGGGGGGGGGATTCAGGGATAATGCAATTCTTTTACTTTATGTTTAGCCAAAAAAATCCACTACTCATCCTTGTAAAAATTCAAAGAGCTATTGACACTAAGCTATGTGACCTTGTCAGAAAAGATAATTGCATTTGTCTTACTTACCATCAAGCTAGTTCGTAAATAAGCTGAGCTATTTATGCCCATACTGGTAAACAGTATCATTAATTTCCAAATTAATAAAGGGAACAGCAATTCAATAATGGCAAATTTAAGATTTGCTAAATACATTATGTGAAGAGAAAAACAATTGTTTTACCCAAAGATTCACATTACAGTAACTTTCTAGCCTACAGACTGAGTTTTCCCAAGTTGACTAATTAGGGCAATTCATTAACAAGAAGAGATAGATTTCCAAGTCTCCCATGAAAAATCAGGATGGAAGCAAAGACTTGTCCCACAGTTTATTTTAGAATAAAGACAAACCATTAGCAAAACCATTTTAGAATATTTATACTGCTTTGTTAGGAGTTGGAGAAAAAGACATATTTCTCAAATAAAGTGAAAAAACATCGAAATTCAGTATCAAAGAGAACCCCTGGCAGATGAATGGTGACAGGTTATTTTTTAAAGTTTTCTGGGGCACTTTTCACAAGGAAGCTGGGAACATTTGTACAGTTTGGATTTTAATCAGACCTGGAGCAGAATTTTATGGCATCTCAAATTTGCTTTTCCTTTAAGACAATAATTACCAGAATGAACATTAGAATGATTTTAAACCATGTTTCCAGTCCTAAGTCGAACAAACCAGTGACAACTCACCAGACAACCATTTTTTGAATGAGCAGATGGAACAATTAAGTTAAATTTACATCCTTTCATTAATTCAAATGAAATCCAGCAATATGCCTCATATGCAAAATATTTGCTGCTTTAAATAATTAAATAATTATCATTTTCTCTTACCTCTTTGTTACCTCTATCTGCTTGTACTAAAGTTCCATTTAAGCAAGGTTCTACATAGTGGAGCTCTTCATTATACTGCAGGGAACAGAAGAGACATTTAATATAAGTGTCTGAAAAATATCATTTAAGATAATGAGAGGTAACATGAAAAAAACTAAGAATCTATCATTGAATTCATTGCTTTTACTCACATACATTAAATGTACTACAGATGGCCCTCAACTTTCAACAGTTCATATAGTGACCGTTCAAAGTTTAACAGCACTGAAAAAGTGACCGTTTTTCACACTTATGAGAGTTGCAACATCCCCATGGTCACGTGATCTAAATTTGGATGCTTGGCAACTGGCTCATATTTATGACATTTGCAGTGTGCCGGGATCATGTGATCTTCTCTATGTAACTCAATTGTCTCTTGAATTGATTACAATATATGTTGCATTTCTTTCTGGAAATAATTAGTTCTTTGTCTCTGGTGTGCCATTTTGTGGGCTTCAGAGGCAGATACTTGAGGTGGTTTTTTACCACTTTTGTTTAGATGGGGAGCACTCATTTTTGTTCCCTCCCTCTATTTATATTTTCCAGGTGTTAGTCTTGTTTGACAGGACCAATCTTATAATCAATACAGTAATATACAACTTAAAATTAAATTTAGCTTTAAAATCATCTCATATAGTTCTTATAGTCTTTATGTGTAGCCTTTGTAATCCAATAAGTTCCACAATATAGGTCTATCATCAACCCCAAGGGGTATTTTGTCACAACTCTTCTGTCCAGAAGTCCAAAGATTTCAATCCAAACAATATTTATAATCCACAGTGTCCAACCACCTTAAACTCAATCCTTTAGTTTCCCCTTCCCAGTAAAAAAAAAATAACCAAGAGACAGAAAGTCAAAAGTTTAGATTCAGTCAATATTTGTAGTCCAGAATAGTCAGCAAGTTTCAAAACAGTTATATCTTCCACCAAGTAGAGAGTAGTCCAAAATATTTTTCTCTGTTGCCAGTTGTTCTCTGTTGAACTGAAAGCTTAGCTGAAGGTCAAAGGAGCTGAGAGTTTATCTGTGTTTAGGCATTGTGCCAAATGCTCTAGCTGCAATAAGCTTAATGCTGTACTTCTATATCACCACTAGATGTTCGCAGATGTCCATTTTCCAACACTTTAAAAAATTATTTTCGCTTTAAAGTTTTTTGAATTTCACCCCAATATTATTTCCAAAGAGAAAACCCTTAACAGATTTCTCAGTTCTGCAATTTGTCAATGCTCTGTCTTGTAGAGCTTCCACTTTAATGTTATATTCTTCTTTGTTTTTCCCCCATAAAGGATTCACCTGCCGCTTTTTTTCCTCTGAAGGGAGAGCAAAAGTCCTCTTCCTTCTCACGCTTGGGGATTTCTTGCTTTGTGGGAGTTTGGCTTATTCAGGAGTCAAATATCGAAGTAGTAGAGGAAGGATTAATAATCTCACCCAGTTCCACGCACATTGTTTAAAATGCTGATAATGCTGGTGTTTTCTTTATTCGGTTGTTGATGATTTGGTCTAGCCACAGAAGTGCAGCTAGACTTTCCCCTGATGATTTGGAGGGCTTTCCTCGGATCAAAGGATTGACCACCATCTTTCCATGATCTACGAGGGTCCTTTTCTTCTTCATCACCTCTCTGGGACAACTTTAACCCATTTAGAGCCCCTGGCAGGACGAAATCAGCTGTGGGAAGCGGAGCCCCGCTTTCCTTCGGCTGCGACACCATGACGCAAACCGGAAGTGCTTACTAGGGATTTGTTAATAAAGAAGTAGAAGAACCAATAAGCAGTTCATCTGGCTCTCTTGGTAATATGTATGCTCAGCTAAATTTTCCTAAAAGTATTTTTGGGCTCCCCCATCCTAGCCACAACTCAGTTCAGCAAATAAAAATTAAGCTTTGTAGTTTAAAATTTCAAATTTTAAAAATAAAATTTAAAATGGGGAAATTTTAAAACGTGATTTATGAATGCAAACATATCCAAGTTCTGCTCTCGCTCCCTACAAAGGAAGGGGTTCTGTTAAAGATTCATATGTGGCCTTCACCACCAAAATACTGTATACCATAACTTAGAGCAATATCTGAACATGGCATAAAATGGAAAACTTTCACAATTGCCATTGTAATGAGAAAATAATTTTCAATTTATCTTGAAAAATCAAGTTGATTTCTTTGTCTCTATTCAATATGTTTATTCGTTTAAAGATAAGTTAATAGAGCAATCTTTCAAGCATCAATTTGTTTGCTTACATCCTTTTTTAGATATGGCATGAAAGCAACAGAATTAATGTTCATAATTAGTAAGTGAAAACGCCAAACTATTTAGCCCAAATTCCACTTGCTATCTCCCACAGGAACCAAAGGAACCTTAAACAATTCATTAATGAGTAGCAGGGAGAGAGAATTTGCAAGGGCGCAAGTTTTCACTCTTACTATAAGCCATACAATCTGTAAAGATTCTTGGCTTATATTTCTTTGGCTTTCTCTTCTAATAAGCAATGCCCCTGTATGGTTGATTTTTGAAAATCATTAATTACATAGGCAAGAATAATTAATTTGCCCTGTGTTGAATATACATTTCTGTGTGCATGTGCCTTTAAGTCTGCCTTAACTCTTGATGACTACATGATTCCATAGAGTTTTCTTAGCAACATATTTTTTTAAAGGTTTGTCAATGCCTTCTTCCTAGGGCTGAAAGAAAGTGACTGGTTCAAAGGCAGGATTAAACCTTCAATCTCGTTCTTTCTAGGCAAGGTCATTTATCCATTAACCCAAACTAACTCTCTATGTCAAACATTACTGAATACTAATCTTTTCCTTTTTGGGGAGGGTGTGTTATTTTTATATGCTGTAAGTCCATTTACTTCAATAAAATTTATTTCAAAACAAGACTTAGTTCCAAAATGATCTCTTGTAGAGGGCTAGTGTATGAACACATTTTAGTCCTGATAGACCCTATGACCATTCAGCTCCCATATAATATAATTCCTCTCTGTGCATTCTCTATGAAGATGACATTTGTTCTCAGAACACTAACAAATTGCTCCTCATTCTTGAAATAACTCTAGAAAACAATGTTCTATATTTATACTATTTAAAATATTTTATAGCTGCAATTAAGTGATCATAGCCACAATTCCCAGCAGAGTATGCTCAGAGGCACAAATTTCTCAAAATTCTTTTTTGTCAAGTCTAACAGCATTTAGGAGGAAATGACATATTTGTTCATCTTGCACCAATCATTCAAACTGATTTTTGTTTTAAGATTGTTTAAGGAGTAGTCTGTGAATTCTGCTGAGCCAGTTGAAAATATATATCATTCAAAATGAAAACTCCAAGTCTGAATACAGTTTAAGCCACTAGTTCTCAACCTGTGGGTCGGGACCCCATTTGGGGTCGATCGACCATTTCATGGGGGTCGCCAAGCAAGGCTGTCCGCCATTTTTTTTGTCCACCATTTTTTTTGTCCGCCATTTTTTTCCCCTTTTCCGACGGGTGCCTCACGGGCTGGGCCAGCTGGTGGTCGGCCTGCTCTGTCTCTGCCGCTTGCCAGCTACGCCTCGGCCGGCGCAGGGGGCGGAACCACGCATGCACGGTGCTCCCGGGCAGGGAAAGTCCTCGACTTACGACCGGTTGGGTAGTCCTCGACTTATGACTGGTTTAGTCCTCGACTTACGACCGGTTTAGTCCTCGACTTACAACCGGTTGGGGTCGCGGCATTAAAAAGGTTGAGAACCACTGGTTTAAGCCAATCTGATATTATATCCTTAATGAAAATGAAAATTTTGAACACTAACATTTTTCATGGCACTGTTTACCATTCATTTTTTTATTTTTTTAAGCTAAAATTATTTAGGACTACATTTTCTTCTCCTGATGTGGCATTGTCTGTCTGTCTGTCTATCTGTTTAGTTTACCTACCTACCTATTCACTATAAGGATGGGGTCTTTTAATGCAGCTTGTAGCCCTCCATGTTCAACTCATAACATGACCCCCTTCCCTGTGGTGTTCAATGTCAGAAGCAATTTCAAAGCTGAAAGGAGAGAGTTCCAGTGTCAATTTTCTCCTTGCAATAAAGTCCTCTCTCTTTGTCACAACTGTGTTGTATGTCCCTCAAGCTATCAGTTTCACTACACCACTAGTGGCTAGTTTCCATGTTTCAAGAAGGACCTTTCTTTCTCAATACGTCTTAGAAGTACCAAGAATTGAATCAGAAACCTTCTCTCTGACAGGATTGTACTATTAATGAATTACAACCATTCTCTAGTAATTCATTTCTAAAATAAGAACACAATTCATACCCATCTTCTTTTAGCTTGGCAACTTAGATAAATCCTATAAAATATAAATCATTATGAGCTGAGCTAAGATTATGCCTCTCATTCTTCCATATTATTTTATTTTACTGCATTTTATTTGTTCGTTTGTTTATTCAATTTCTTATAGCTGCCCACCTCAAGCAAGTGACTCTGGGCAGCAAACGATCATTTATTGCACACAAACTCAATAATAATCAATAGACTTTTTCCTTCTGCACTCATTTTTCTTCTCAAATCTTTTCTATGAAAAGCTTAAATTAAATTTAGAAGAATTCTGAGATTATTTTTCATTTAAGAGATAGCCTACTTTTCACTAAAAACATTTTCCCCAGGCAGAATTAGCACTCTGTTTTATGATAACATTGTTAATTTAATGCTTCACTTAGAATCTGACTTCAAAGAAACATTTCTTTTTCCTCATTGCAGACATTTCAGTTCATGCACTGCCGATCTGATCTTATATTTAACTTAAACTACAGAAAAGCAAATGCATAGTTTAATAGTTCCTTTGGTAATGCAACCATCTACAACAGTCCATCAATTTTATATAGCTTTTGCAATAAGTAATCCCTGAAAGACACACCTCTTTTTTGTTGTATTATCTTTTTATGGTTATTTTATGCACTGGACTTTTTGGTGACTTTATTCATGGATCTACTTAAAAACAAAATTATTGGCGGATGAAATGAAATAAATCCAGTATACATAAGACAACAGAATTATTTAACAATAAAATAGCGTTCAATACCAACTCTGTACTTAATTGAATTTATAATTATGACCATATTCCTCTTCCTTTATAGTTAATGAGAATTAGTGAGAACTAGACAACATGTGACCTGTTGGGTCATTGTTTCAAAGATATTTCCTTATCTAAACAAAGAACGAGAATGATCACATTTAGGCAAAACTGTCGTGGGAACAGGAGCAACTTCTAACTTCCTGCTAGTTTCCCTGTTGAGTTTCCTTGTGGGAAACTGGCAAGAAGTATCACAAATCTATCTTTCCTTCCTTCCTTCCTTCCTTCCTTCCTTCCTTCCTTCCTTCCTTCCTTCCTTCCTTCCTTCCTTACCTTCCTTCCTTCCTTTCCCCTCTCCTTCTCTCCTTGGTGGGGGAGAAAGTGAGGGCACGTGAATGGGCAGCATAGGTTGGGAAGAGGGCCTGGGACTGTATGAGAGGTACTATGCAGGTCAGAGAGGGCATGCAGAGATGCAATGTCAGCCAAGAAGGGTACATGGGGGAGTGGAGTGGATTGGGAGAGTGGCTTGATCACAAAAGGTACCATGCTGGTCAGGAATGGTGCATGACTGGTGGTGTGAGTCAGGAAGGGTACATGTGGAAAATGTACTTGGTAGGGGGGGCCGCCTGTCAAGCCCTCCCGGGCTTGACACACAAGGAGGGGGAGAACCAGCATCACAGTCTGCAAGCCGACGAGCAGCTGTAATTAACGGAGGGGGAGAATCAGCATTGCAGTCAGCAAGCCGACGAGCAGCTGTAATTAACAATCAGCTGAGGGGAGGCAGCCTGGAGAGCACAGGGCGTCGCCAGCAGAAGCACAGGGCATTGGCAGGAAGGTTCCAGACGGAGAGACTAATGGGGCAATTAACTGAAAGATGCTTGTTGGGGGAATAGGGGGTGTGGTGTAGGAGGGCGGGGGTGTGGTGGTGTTGCTTGGTGGAGGGTGGGGTGAACTTGGGAGTGTATTTAAATAACGCTGGGAGGCAGTAGCTCCCAGCGTAAACTTTATTTGTAAAGAGCCTCAGGCTGAAGGTCTTTGCTAATGTCAGAAGCTTGTTCCTGATTAAACCGTTATTTCAAGAGTAAACAGCGTCTTCGGGTGCTTTGTCAACTCACGTTCCGGTAAGGACAAGTGACAGGTGCCACATCTTTCAGGGAAAATATGCAGGAGTAGCACAGATCAGGCAAGATGTATAGGGATGCACAAGAGGCATGTGGGTGTGGGTTGGAGAAGACATGCAGTGAAGTAACACAGGTTGAGGAAGCATGGGCCAGGAAAAGCATGCAGGGATTCCTTCCTCCCTTCCCTTCCCTTTTCAGCAGACAAGTTAATGGCTGCTGCTAGGTGAGGGAAGGAATAAGGAATTGCAAAATAAGCTGGGAGATTATCACAGAATGCTGAAAATGAAGATCATGTGACCACAGCAAAAGCACAATGGCAGCCAATAGCCTTGAAGCAGGAACAACTTTCACAACTTTCCCAAATTTTATTTCCTCAGGAATCATGGGTCCCAGATTTTGGACACATTCAGTAAGTTAAACCATTTAAGGTACTTTGGTTCAAAAAGTGTTGCCATATGATGCGCTATTTCATCCAGTGAAAGGATATGACAATGAGAATTTTAGTAGTACAGTATATAGATTATATAATGTACAGTTCTCAAAAATGTAAGATAAAAAGTGACCCCCAAGAGAGTGGTGAATAAATGTATGTGTATACAGATAATTCTTGTTGAAAGACGACTCATTCAGCGACTATTCAGAGTTACAATGGTGCTGACCAAATGGATGTTTACAATGCAGCCACTGCAGTGTCCCCATAGTCATGTAATCGCAATTTGGGCACTTGGCAGCTGGCTTGCAATTTCATGATCCTGCAATCCCATGACTGCCATTCATATCCTTCTTTGCCAGCTTCCTACAAGTATAGTCAATGGAGAAGACAGCGATCATGTGACTACATGCCAGTTCAACTGTGCAGGATTTGCCTAATGGATGTAACTGGGACTACTGCAACTGCTGTCATAAATGCAAACATGTGATGTCACACTTACTATAGTATCGCATAGTGACAAAGTTGCTGGTCCCAAATATTCACCTGTATAGGTATTATAATGAGGACTATCTATATTTGAAGAGAGACAGAAAGTGCTCTGAAGAAATCAAATGCATTTCATATAGAAATGCCAGAATCAATTCCATAAAACCAAGATTTGTGTCCAAACTTACACCACACCTTTGTCTATAAGTTCCTATACAGATGTGCAAAAATGTATTTGCTAATAATCAAACTTTCACTATAGTTTTGCTTCTAATATTAATTTGGGTATGCTCAGGGCTTTTTTTCTCATAGAACACCCAGAACGGTGTTCCGGCACCTTTTTTGGATGGAATCTTGTAGGATAGGCAAGGCGGGTTGTATGATGTATGTGAGTTCCGGCACCTTTTTTTTTTTTTTAGAAAAAAAGCACTGGATATGCTTATAACCACTCTAGACTGTTTTCAATAAAGCTCCCAGAATGTTTGGGATGGCAGCACTTTGTATTATTAAGGCATATGTACCAAGATGCCAATGTAGCTGGGTTTAGGGGTAAACCAATCATGGTTTCTTAAATGAAGATTATATTTGAATTGATGTCTATCTACAACATGTAATTACTTTATGATTGAACATGAAAGATCTGGAACCAGCTTGCAAATGGATTTCAGTGATTGCCTATGACAGAAATTGGAAATTGTTCGTCCACCTGAATTCACAGACAATTGATAGGCTGTTGTTAGAACCAAAACAGGATGCAGTGGATTGAGAAATTTATTTCAGACATACCGTAATTTCCTAAATTGTGAACTTCCACTAATAAAAATATAATTATTAACTATCAATGAATAACGGCACTATAATGGTATATATGACATACATTTTAATGTTTCCTATCTGAAAAAATAGATGTGCTCTACAGGTTTCTGAAAGCAAAGTTCCAGTAATTATAGAGTAGTAAGATTATACACATACATACATACGTACATACATACATACATACATACATACATACATATAAATAACAGCTTATTTCTAAATAATTGGATTCTTAAAGTACCTCATCAAATAATATAATGTGCACAATTGATTTAAAATTGTAGAAGCATATTAAGAATGTTTCATTGTGGACCAAGAATTAAAACTTATTTTAATAAGAACTTCCAATCTAAACAAATAATTCAAAAAAGCATTATGAAAATATACATTGCTTTTTAATTTTTTTATAATTTGTTTCACAGCAATCCAAAATACTGTGGCCATAAGATTATCCCTCATAAACAGAACTAAAGATTCTAGCCTTGGAGGATATTTGATGTTCAATTCGTCCTTTGACCTTCTCGGTCTCTGTGACCAACTGATGGAAGTGGAACTGCACAACCTCAGGTGAAGATTCTCATAAATGATCTCCCGTTTCCTTGGTGAATTAAATTTGCTAACATACTTGTTTATTTATCTGTTAAGCTCCAGGCAAAGACATATTTATTCTTCCAACTTTGAAATATTTTGATATATAAATTGCATACTGTATATTAAATCTGTGTGCTTTTCTGTTACATTTTAATTATTGTTTTGGTGGAAACTATAATTGTGCAATGTTACAAGCTACTCTGAGGATAAGGGTATTTTCAAGGATGTGCTTGTGTGTGTATAAAGAAACCCAGAACAACATCAATAATAAAAGAACAATTTAATAAGAAAGAGAACATAGAGATACTCACAGCAATTATATTAAAAAAGTCATCATCTCCAAGGGTATCCAAAATGGAAGATACTGTTTGTTTTGCAATAGTCAAGCGAAGTCCTTTCATACTGCCGCTAACATCAACTAAAATGACAACATCTTTAGGAGAAGTGGCTGCCTGAATATACCTGGATGACAGGAGAAGAGGAATAGGGAAGAAAGTAAATTGAATTCACAGGAATCCACATGCAGGGCCACTGCTAACCAATACAGAACATTTGTGCAAATTAGGAAAAGGCATCTCTGCAATGGAAGAAGGGAGGAGTCCATGTGAGCAACCTTTCTCCTGTTACAAGTCAACTAGGCCTGTTTGTCAAGATGACTTGGGGTTCTCCCACCTATTGGCAGACCACTCACTTTTTGTTCTTTTGCCCAGAAACACAAGTGCATTGACTCCCTGCCCTTTACTAGTTGTGGCATCCTGGTGCAGGGCATAGCTTGAACAATCACACACAGCGGCCCTTTCTACCAGCTTAACTTTTCTGAAATTCATAAAAACCAATCATGACCTACCATTTTCTATTTCTGCAGTCAAACGCAATGACTCCATTTTCATCTGGCTCCCATTTAATTCCTGGAGGAGATAACAGTATTACACCATTAGAATTCCCAATGTATGTTTTCTTCCTTAAAATTGTTTATTTTTTATTTATTCACCCGATTGGCAAGCCCATTCGAAAGTAAACCTCGCTGTCTTCAAGGATATTTAAGCTTAGTCACCAGAGCTGTCTTTCCATCCTTCTCCAACAACTCTGATACTGATGTTTCCAAGATTACTTAAATCCTGCCAGGGCAAGAATCAGGGAGAAATCTCTCCTTTCATCACACCCATTTGTTGACAAATACATCTTTATTAGTTTCAGAATAACACTATATACAGATTAAATCAAAAGCCAGAAAGCTTCCCTAGGACCTGGCATTTAGCCCCTAACATGTCTTTTTCCTAAAGAGAGACCCAAGACTTCAAGCTGGTTCTAAAACTCTCTTCTGGGTTTTAGCCTGGGACATTTAAACACCATCCCATACTGAAGCTCATGGCAACATATGAAAAATTAAATATTAAAATATTTCACAGATAGCATTATAACACGTTAAAACTGTGTTATACTAATCATTCTAGAGCAGTGGTTCTCAACCTTTTTAATGCTGCAACCCCCAACCGGTCGTAAGTCGAGGACTAAACCGGTCGTAAGTCGAGGACTAAACCAGTCGTAAGTTGAGGACTAAACCGGTCGTAAGTCGAGGACTACCCAACCGGTCGTAAGTCGGGGACTTTCCCTGCCCGGGAGCGCCGCACATGCGTGGTTCCGCCCCCTGCGCCGGCCGAGGCGTAGCTGGCAAGCGGCAGAGACGGAGCAGGCCGACCATCAGCTGGCCCAGCTCAAGGGAGGTAAGGCACCTGCCGGAAAAGGGGGAAAAATGGCGGACAGCCTTGCTTGGTGACCCCCGTGAAATGGTCGATTGACCCCAAATGGGGTCGCGACCCATAGGTTGAGAACTGCTGTTCTAGAGCATGATGGAAAAATCAGTACAATCAAATCGAATCGGTGCTTATTATCATGTCTGCAGGCAATAACCAATTTTGGTCAAAATGTTTTAAAACAAGAACAAATTCACAACAGTCTTTAATAATTAATGCTGTTATGGCTTTACTCTCTATTAAGGGAGCTAGAAAATAACACAACACAATAAATCAATTCATTTCTTATCAGTTGTTATAGTTACTCTACCATTGTGAAAAGTATGTCTTAAGCTAGATCAATATTGTTTAAAAGTGTAAGAAACATTATTTGTTGAAAAATTAATACAGTGGCAAGATATAAAATATTATTTAAAGACTATTTTATTCACATTTAAGCTTCAATAAGCACACAACTCCTAATAGACTATCGCTGTGTATATAAAGGTCTTTTTTGGGACAGTAATAATAAATACATACATTTAAAATGTTATATCATTTCATAAAATTCTATTCACAAACTATGTGAAAATTATTGTTTTGGGTGCTATTTCCTTTCTGATTTTTTTATATTTAAATTTCTCTTTATTCTCATTGTATAGTTGATCACTGTACTTTTAATCAAAATTTAAAATAGGATAAGAATCAGAATATTTTTTTTCTAGCTATGATACAAGCAGAATTCAATGCTTTGCCCTAAGAAAGGTAGCCTAGGAGCATCAATCATGTGAAATATTTTTATCTTTGACTGGATCATATCCATTGCTAATAATTATTTATATAGTATTTATATAGTATTTATATAGTATTTCAACATGCAGAGTATTGTATCTATTTATTTCATTTGTTCTCCTTAAATTATGAACAAGCCTAATTATACTATAGTAATGTATTAGTAATTGTGCTAAAATACAATGATTGTCCATGTTTTCAACTTAAAAGATTGAGTTCCCATTCCAAGAAATCTAGGTATTTACAGGACATACAGTATATTATTCTGAATAAAAGCAAAACAATTTTTTGCTAATATGTCCTTATGAAATTTCCTCCTTTGAAATTACTACTAGAAGCAGAAGGAGGTAAAAGTTACATTCAAGCTACTTATGGATAGATTTCTTCCACCCATATTACAGTATTCTCAGGCTGTCAAAGCTTCCAGCAGAAATCAGCGGAAGGGGGAATCGGAGACTCATTTAACTAGTTAGCAAAATTATTATCTGGCAGCAGAGAAGAAATGGCATGGTAACATTTAAGTTTATCATGTATGAAAACTAGGAAACAGTTAAGCCACTCTAAAATGCTCCCTTTAAAATATTATTTTTAGTTATGAGCTTTTATTGTCACAGCTGTGGAGTCAGCACTACTGCAGCCTTAAGTCATGTTTTCTAAACTCCTAAGCAAAATTAAAACTTCCTTTCTATTAAACATTCAAATACTGTTGCAGCAGGGGATCTGTCCTAAGGGTTTCAGCTGTTTCCACCAAGAAAAATAAGGAAGTTTGCTGCTTCAGACAAACTTGGTAGTAAAAAAAACAAAAAGTCAAAAAAAGGGCCACTGAAAGACTGATATTAAAACTCCTTGAGTGGTTGAGGTTGAGTTTGTTCACCCTTTTCCAAACAGAACTGATTTATTATAATGGTGAAATACTTCCTCCAATGCTGCTTATATTGCTCATGCCATAAGGAGTTGACTAATGTTGCTCTTTTAGGAACAGCAAATAAAAACATGTAATAAAAGGAGGACAGAAAAGAAGTGCAGGCATTTTTTGTCTTACCTGGATACTGCCTGAAAAATCCCTTTGCACTTCCAAAGTATTGCCATATAAGGGAAGGGTCGTGGCCAAAGTTGTCAACAAACACTTTGTTTAATGATTCAGACCAGTAAACTCCATTCACAATTGCAGGATCTGAAAAAAGAAAAGAAAAAGAATCAGAAGTTCTAGTGTAAGTTAGTTCTGGACATTAGATGTTTTAAACCAGGATCTGAAAGCACTTTGTAAGGCATGTCATAGATTTCAAATGATACCAAAAAGCAAAAGAAGAATAGAATAGAATAGAATAGAATAGAATAGAATAGAATAGAATAGAATAGAATAGAATAGAATAGAATAGAATAGAATAATAACTTTATTGTCATTTTGAATGTACACTCATCGGCGTATATTAAAATGAAATTTCATTGCATACAGCTCTCAAAAGGTCACCACTTCCAATATACACTATATAAATATGATAAAAATAAATAAATAAATAAAAAATATGCATATACCTACATATGTTATATGACACAGAGAAACAACACAGTCTAGTTCAAGAAAAACAAATCTGGCGAGTTAACCATAGGGAACAAAGCTATTACAGAATTGGGTAGTCCTGCTAGAAATACTTCGAAACCTCCTCCCAGAGGGGAGCAACAGGAACAGACCGTAAAGTGGGTGTGTGGGGTCTCTAACAATGCTTTGAACTCTAAGCACAGAGCGCTTATAAGCAGCATCCTGAATACCAGGGAGCGAACTTCCTATGATCTTCTCGGCTGTCCTTACTTAGAAAGTATGGACTTTCTATCTGAGGCACTGCTGCTACCAAACCAGACAATGATGCAGTTTGTCAAATAGTCATCTTCAGAATGAATGCAATGAATATTTCTTTTGAGGGACTTCTCTGAATCCATCTCTCCCTTCACCTTCTGGAAAGATTTTTAATCTTATGGTTTTGAATACTACCTTCCCATTTTTGTCATTCTACTCAGGCTTTTATTGAGACCATTTCTTTACTGGTGGTTTATTACCTTGACACTGTTGTGGTGATATGAAGACTCTTCATTCAGCAATGACTGAATGATGCCACTAAACTGCTTATGTGAAAATGCTCTGAAATTACCATTGTGAATTATACATAAAGTATTTTGATTTTCTTGTAAACTGTTCAGAGATTTTTACTGCAATGAATAAAGAGAAGAAATATAACTTTATTGGGAGGAGAGTTAACTTATTATTTCTATTTTATTAGTTGTTAACTCCATCGGTAAAAGGAATTTTACCCTGGATTCCACCGGAAGCAAATTTCAGTATTACTTTCCACTGAAATTCATGAATGGATGAATACTAACAGAAATGTCTTTTCCTTAAAATAATAAATAAGGACTGAGGATTACAATGGAACTGGAGTTACTTCACTAAAAAAATGAGCAGGCTAGAGCATTTCTTTTTCCTTTTCTGAAAAACATCCTGCACACTTATTGAGGTAAGAGCATATTTACGACCACACAATGCCTAGAATGTCTTTGTGACAATACCATCTTGACCTAAATCCCATGACATTGACATTTCAGGACCTTGTGATTTTCATTACCAGCTCATTAATTCTAGCCCTATCTTCTCAAACAAATACATGAAAGAGGCCTCAGATGCATCAAATTCTGGTTGCCCATGGAATTACAAAACTCTTACAACCCTACATTGGCACAATTGATCAAATGGCAACTTTATCTATCCATGTTATAAGCACAGAAGAAACCTGATTCTCCTCTGTATCAGAGGTAATCCTTAATATTAAGGAGCAGAGAAACGTGGCCTGCCCCATCATTTGATGCAGTAGCTTCATTGACTTGTAAACTAATGGCTGATTTCAAATTATGTAAGTTTAGTGAGATAATTTTAATGAAGTGCAAAGAGGTGAATTGTTTTGTGTGAGAACATTCATCAGGGAAACATTGGAGGTGGGGGGCACAATGAAATGTCTCAGCTGCCTGCCTTTGAACTAAACTTTCATCTAAATATTTATATTTACAAGCACATGTTGCACATAAAGACTATAAGGAAATATTTCTCTTGGAGAGAAATGCCTTCATAAATAAGAGAGGACATGAAAACTTGAAGCTGCCAATACTTGGGACATCAAGGCAGAATCATACATGTATCCCAACCATAGTTCTCATGTCTCCATACATTTCTAATATGGTTAACAGGATATGTATCATTAATTCAGAAGGAAAAGAAAAAAAATTCTGATGTTTACTGTCTGAGGCATAACTGCCAAATTTCTAATCTTATGCACAAATGACACTTTCATATACACAATTCATGTATCTATCTTCCCACATATGTTCTACCAGCACTGGAAGCAGATATTTGATATATCAACAACAATTCCAGATGTTCTACAGTTAGGAGCTAATCTTTCTGCTCTTCATTTCAGAGTAGTTAAAATCCCGTGCCAAGAACTGAACAGTATGGCACTGTTCTGGTTGATGCAAAGGCCAGGAAGAGCTACTGTGACCACTGGTCTCCTGCCAAATAAAACATGGAGAAAGACAAGTTCCAAACCTCTACATGCTGAGAATTGTTGTATATTTTCCTTCATCCTTCTGTTAGAAAATATGTGCAAACTCACAAAATGAATCCCCAACACACAGTTTTATCTCCCCAACCTCTCATAAGTTATCAAATATAAATAGGCAAGGGCTTTTAAAAATATTATCACTGACACATGGAAGAGCTACTCAACTATCTACAGTTTTAGTTCTCTGCCTCCATTCGTCTGTAGCCATCACAATAAAGAAAGCTTCAGCCGGACATAATCTTGACTTTTATGACCTTAGTTTAACAGGCTCAACTTGACTTAGTATAACCATGCCAAATTCAAATTCAAACCATGCCAAATTCGAACACATAAGACTCCACCTTCACACTGAATATGGGCAATGTCTATGATCCCTTTTCATGGATCCTGAATGCCTCCAGATATTTAATAATGCTTAATGTTAATATTTTATGATTTAGAATATGGAGTGCATTTCAACTGTGTTGTGAATTTAATGATGACTGATTAACAAATCATGTTTAGTTGTATTGTGTTGTGCTTATATAGCAAAATCTCCTCACTATAAAATCCCTCAAAGAAATATTGAAGAATATGTTTAAGGATTTGATTGTCCTTGCTATAATCTTCTATTAACTACTTTTGAAAAAGTATCTTTATTTTGTAAAGTGAACATGTAAATTATTAGAAAAGGGGCAAGCAGTGAAAAAGAAAAACTATCCTTATCCTTCCATTTGTTACATTCCAGACTCATTAACTTTAGCTTCTCTAGTTTTTCTTAAAAGTGATCAGGAAATGCATTTTCCACAGAGGTTTACCAACAACAACCTTTCAAATAAAATTAGAAATTTTTTTCTATCTTTTTGGTAAGGCACATGTTGCAATCTACAATTTGTTTCACTGCTATGTCTGTTGCTGTACTATTGATATTTAATGAAACAGGACTTGTGGACAAGCAGGTACACTGTCAGGAATCTGAAATATAATTCCCAAAGAATACATCAAAAGCATCTAGCAATTAAATATCTGTCATAAATATTATTGGCTCTCAGAAGCAGAGGTGAAAGGAATGTTGCAGATGTTGAACTTAGCCTGAAATAAAACAATTGAGGAATGTTCGGAATGAAAATACTTTTCAAATTTTGTTCAATGTAGGGCAGAAATCACATACCTGCAACTTTACAAAATTACAAAAGGCAGTGTGTGAAAACAAAATAATGTAAATAATGCAGTCTCAGGTTAGTTTGATGTGCACAAACTTTATTTTGTCTATCTAAGTACAGTCCTTTCTATTTATGGGAAATAGTTTCATTTTATTCTACATTTTTCAAGCTTTACTCGGAGTATTCTAGGATCTAAGCTTTAAAAAAAAAAAGATCAATGGCAGTTTCACTAAAATTCCTCAGAAAAAAGAAGAGAAGTTGATGAAGGAACTAGAAACTAAGCCCTATCATAAGAAACTAAAAGAAACAGGAATGTTTCTTCGTAATTAAAAGACCAAGAGGATTTATTGTTGTATTGGTTTTATAAGGCTGTTAGCCGCCCTGAGTCCGGTAAGGAGAAGGGCGGGATATAAATTGAATTAATAAATAATAAATAAATAAATAAATATAAGATATACTGTAACTTCTCAGTCATGTCAAAGGATTTATGTAGAAAAAGTCCAACTTCTTTTTTCTTCTTCTTTTGGATACTCATTGTTCCAAAGTACAGGCTATGGGTAGAGAGATTCCGACTGAATATTAGAAATGATTTCTTAACAGTAGAAGAAGTGTGATAATGGCACTAACTGCTCAGAGAATTTATGGCTTCCCTTTCTAAAAGATATATTCAAATAGATGCTGTCAGGAATATTTTAATTCAAATGTTTGCATGGAGCAGGGAGTTGCAGTTTATGGCCTAAACATTTTTCACCCTCTTATCTCTTCTCATAGCTCCTCAGTATCTTTTTCATATACTTGAGCATATGGAATCTGTTCCTTACACAATTTGTATTTTAATTGAATCTTCCCCAGGTCAAATCTTTCTAGCACACTTTTTTCCTTAATTTTTCTAAGTTTAAGCTTAATATTTTCCACCAATAAGGTGTGGCCTTTTCTACAGTCTGCATCTAGACTGCATTTCTCTAGCTCCTGTTCATTATTATATGATTTATTTAGTTGTATTGTTTCCCATCTGGAGAGTTCTACATTAATGTCAAAATGGTCATGGAAGAAAAAAAAATGATGTAACAAGGGTGAGCATTTTCCCAAAACTCACAAGGAATGTTTTTTTCTCTCCCTATTTTTATTTAGGAGCCATTGTGATGTAATTTTGTGCCCTTGTGGTCCTTAGCTGCCAAAACAAACGTGTTAAACAACAACAACATAAAAACATTTACTAATACTGACATGTTCTACTATATTCAGTTATATTATTCTATGAATATTCTGTTGCATTCTAAATATACTCTATTTCAGTTATTACTAAAAGCAATAAGAAATCAACTTGGGGGACATTATCAGACAGGATTAAATATCAAGTTATTTAAAAAAAATAGTAAGTTTAAAAAATAAATTGATCGGATCAGGGTTAAAATATATATCTG